AACCCACCTGATGGATAATAGACAGATTCAAGGCTGCAGATAAAAGTGTCCCTGATGTGTAATTCCTCTCCACCGGATGGTTTGGACACTTTTTTGTTCTGTGTGAAAACAGTGTAGCATGGGCTGCATTTCCCTCTCTATTATTCAATTTACTGTTCTTAACCCCTTCGTGACTGACGACATACAGTGTACGTCGCCAGCATCGGGGCTGTTAGGGTTAACATTAGCCATCTTGGGGCGTGCCATCACATGTATCATTGTATCATTCCATTACAGATATGGTTTTGGCTGCACGGCCTATGAGCCATTCCAGATCCCACCCGATGCTGAACTGAAATACGAAGTCAAACTGAAGAGCTTTGAGAAGGTGAGTGCTTTACTCTGGTAGTACTTGGTGGTTGACTGTTGTTGTGCATGCTGGGAGAGTGCTATTCTTGGACGCTGCATGCTAGTAGTGTGTTGACATGTATGCTGGGTGAGTGTCATCCTTGGCTGGTGAGTGCTGGGTGAGTGTTTACCCCCATGCAGTGCATGCTGGGTGAATGTTGTCCCCGGAAAAGATGCATGCACGTTGAGTGTTGTCCCTAGGCAGTGCAGGCTGGGAGAGTGTGGCCCCTGGGGCAGTGCGGGTTGGGGGGGGGGGGTGTTACACCTGACCAGTGCATGCTGCGCTTGCTTTAACATTGTAAAAAAGAATACACTGATACATTTTCCCAACCAGGCCAAAGAATCATGGGAGATGAACACTGATGAAAAGTTGGAGCAGGGGGTTCTGGTCAAGGAAAGAGGAACACAATATTTCAAGGTAGGTTCATTCATTATGGATCCCCCTCAATTCTCCAATGTAGTTTTATAAGTTTGGCAACACTTTTTCAGGTTTTGTTGTGTTTTTTTTTTTTTGTGAAACTGATAAAACACTTTCAATAATATATTTAACAGACCAAAGGGGATCAAATCGGGGCAGATCATTGTAAGGGCTTACATAGAGGTTAAAGAGACCTTCACAGGTATTTAAACAAATCAAGAGCTCTTTTCCATGCGAGAGAAGAGATAGTACACTCACCTCTGCAGCAACCTGGCCTTTTGACCTGACAGGGTCTCTTTATACGTTGTTGAAGCATGATCAATCAGGGCTTAGAGACTGCATTGTTTTCAGAACTGATAGACATTGCCTGGAGAGGGTGGAGCAGTATTGTAGAATGCCTTAGCAGCATTACCTAACAGGAAGTATGCTGCTAAGGCATATACCTGTATATGCAATAAGCAAATATGTCTGCCCCATGAACTCAAATGTACAAAGTACACACACATCTAAAAGGGTTGTTTATGTTAAGCCTTTCACTTTCAGGTATGTATATAAAAGCTGTAGCTTCCCTCACAAGGCAACGTTTAGGTATTCAGTTTGTTGACTCTGTAATACCATGCCAACCATAAAAACATCATTTTTGTTTTATGTGCAAATTAAAATTTTGTTTGTCTACTTTATTTTTTTCCACCGCGTCAGGCAGGGAAGTTCCGCCAAGCTGTCATCCAGTACAAAAAGATCATCCAGTGGCTTGAACACGAGAGCGGACTGTCGGAACAAGAGAACGCTAAATCCCTCCTTTTGGCGGCATTCTTGAACCTGGCCGCCTGTTGCCTGAAGCTTTCAGAGTACAGACAGGCGCTGGAACATTGTAACAAGGTGAGGATTGTGCAGTGTGTGAATATTTCAAATGTCACATGTTGACAGCAGAGGGAGGGACCGTTTTAACGTTTCATCAACAAGGCGTAGCGCTATGAACAGCGCATTATCTTTCAGTAACTCAGCAAGTCTTTTCATAATTTCATGCGTTGTCACAATACATATCAATGGTTTATTTTTATTTTTCAATACTCTTTATTCATTTTTGAAAGAAAAACACACACAACACATTTAGTTCAGTGGCATTTAACAATCTCTTTTGCCCATCCCATTAAAAAAAAAATATATATGTATGTATGTATGTATGTATGTATGTATGTATGTATGTTCCACTTATTAATACTAAAATCGCTGTCCCTGTACAAAACCCCACAAGTACTACCTAGTTCACTCTTCTCTTCACTCACACCCACCCCCCACCCCCAACAAAACAACCCCAAAAATGTAAAAAGGTTAGGTTATTAACACCTCCTAGCTCCAAATATGCAAAAGAAAGCAATCAACACCTGGTTGCAACAGATTATGTGGATTGGAGCAACATTCACCATATTTATTCCCAGAGAATTGTTGTACAAGTCATTCTGAATTGAGAAAGCTGGTCGGATGACCAATGAAACGTGTCCAGTTGCCTTGACTTATTTTTTACAGCTATACCATGACCTGGATGAATGAGAACCTTCACAGACATACTGGAAGTGTTAAGCTAGCTATACACGGCTCATTTATTTTCCTCCCATCAGCCAAAGGGCTGAAGAAGAGAAAATAAATATCTCCCATCCACGCTAATGGCACGCCACTGCCAGCTACTGTATTCAGCAGCTGCAGCATCCACAGATTGGATGCAGTCGCTGCTCGGACAATAATGGTTTCACAGGGCCATCCGCAGTTTGAATTTCGATTGATTCAGCTGAAATTTTAGCAGTCTCTGGCCAGCCTTACACTTGCATATCATTTTAACATGCATTGGCCGTACATTAAAAAAATTATATTTAAAGGAGAACTATGAGGTGAGTGCTTTTCACTCACCTCATAGTTCTAGCCGACCTGTGACAATGAGACTGTCACAGGTCGGCTCAGTAGATCGGGAAGTGAGCGAACACATACCGGCGTTCGCTCACTTCTCGATCCTGTCACGGCTCTCTGCCGTGACAGAGAAGGGGCTGGATTCCACGCTCCTCCAGCGCTGACTGGCGGAACGGACGGGGGAGGGGGCGGGTACAGCTGGCTCTGCCTCTAGACAAGCAGAGCCAGCTGTCACTCACGCAGCTGGGCGGATCCAGACATAATTGTCGGGATCGGCTTCAGCTGCGGCGTCTCGGTATACCGCGAGCTGTAGCTCGCGGTATACTGAGCTTAGGGTGACGGGAGGGCGCTAGTTTGTGTTCTCCCGTTACCCTTAGGAGAACTATGGGGAAAAGCCCTAACCCCATAGTTCTCCTTTAAGACAACCACCACCCCCAGCTTCTCTCTTTACCAGCAAGGATAGGCCCATAAGGATTTTCACTTCAAAACAGCTAGCCAGAAAATAAGCAGTGCTGGGCTTTCTTACTTTTTATTGTATAAAAAGGAACATTTTTATACCATTTATTTAAGAAAAATGTAAAAGATCTGCATGTAAATGTTTAAAGAACATAGAAAAAAAAAAGGGTATGGTGGTCACGTACCACAACAATCTCAGTGTAACTACCTGTCTGCAGTCTTTTTAGAAATTTGAAGCCCCCTTATGGATACATTTTTTGTTGTTGTTTTTGTTTCAAAGCAGAACACCAGGCACATTTTTCTTTACCCTTGCAGTGAGGCTACCAATGCACTGCAAGGGTTAAGTGCTCATTTTTGTCTAGGTGCAAAAATAACAAAGCTATACTCATCCGGTCCTCGGAGCCGGCTTGCTCTTAGACCAGTCCTTGGAGCCTCTCTTAGACTGCAGCGGTCTAAGGATCCTTGAATCCTCTTGTCCAATACACAGTGTATTGGATGGGAGGATGCCGAGGGACATACCAGACATACTAGAGGGGATCTGTGACAGCCGGCAGGCTCCGAGATTTGGGTATACAATATATAACTTTTTGTTATTTTTTTCACCTGGACAAAAATGAGCAACTGCAAGGGTTCAGAAAAAGTTTGCCCGGAGTTCTTTAATCTCAAAAGGAAAGTGGGGAAATCTCTTAATGCTAGAATACAGTGATACATTAAGGGAAATCATGACACTGGGGAAAAGTGTAATGCTGCAATTCTACCTTAATGTATTTGTGTCCCCTGCAGGCACTAGAATTTGAACCCAACAATGAGAAAGGATTGTTCCGCCGAGGCGAATCCTACATTGGGGTGAATGAACACGAGCTGGCAAAGCATGACTTCGCCAAGGTGATCCAGCTTTACCCCAATAACAAGGCGGCACGGGCGCAGATCGCTCAGTGCCAACAGCGCATTCGCGAGCAACACCAGCGGGAAAAGAAGATCTATGCCAACATGTTCAAAAGGCTGGCAGAGAAAGAGGAGCAGGTGAGTGTGAGAATTGTGGGTGGAGTGACAGTCTTTCCTTGAAGTTAGGGGGGGGGAAAAGAGCAGATTCCTCTAAAGCTTTAGGGCTAGTTCACACCAAGCGCGGAGCAGGTCCAGAGCAGAGCAGGTGCAGACCGGATCAAAACTGCGTCCAATCTATTCCTATGGTATTTTTAGCTCCAGTTCACATCGCAGCGTGCAGATCCAGAGCAGGTAAAAAAACTGCAGCAAGCCCTATTTTACCTGCTCTGGATCTGCAAACGCATCAAAAAAGCATGCAAATGCCTGGAACGCACTGAAAGCCCATGTTTTTTTTTAGTCAAAAACGCGTCAAACGCATCTAAAAGACTTGCGTGCGTGTGCAGAAACCTGACCGGATCTGCTCTGCATTTGGTGAACAAGGCCTTAAAGTAGAAAAAGAGATTGAGGACACAGAGCCCTCAATCTCTTTTTCTGCAGCCCCTGTTATAAATGAACAGGAATCCTCTTTACTGAGTGTTTCTGTTCATTCATAACTTGTGGAGATAGTATATTCATGATTGTGTACATGGTAAACAAACAGGAAGTGATGTAGATCACTTCCCATTCATTCATAATTGGGGACACAGTAAACATACTACGTCCTCAATTATTTACAAGCAATCAGCGATCACTGAGTGCTTGTATCCACTCTCCATCCTAAATTGCATCACAGAAGGCTAAGCGAGCAGTCCGGGGAGGAGAGCTCGATCTCCTGTGACAGCTGACTCCTCCCAGCCCTGCCTCCTGTGACAGCTGGCCGCTGTCTCCGCCCCCACACCGCTCTCCTGATCTGTCACAGGAGGATGAGCAGGGCAGTGCAGGAGTAGAGCCTGGCCTCTTGTGACACACCGGCCACTCACATCCCTCTCCTCCCCCACACTGCTCGGCCTCCAGTGACAGTCTCTCTCCTCTGCGCTGTGTCAGAGCAGCACCCAGGGGGGAGGAGAGAAACCAGGAATGCGCCACAATTTCTTCCGAAAGAGGGCACTTTCGGCATTTTGCCAAAAAGTGCAATTTTCGGCCGACATGTTTCGGTGCATCCCTACCTACTATTGCACTTTTTGCTGATTGCACAAATGGACACATCACTATTTATTGTATTTTAAATGTTGAAATATAAGACTTTTTTGATATTTTTTTTTTTTTTTTTTTTTTGTGCATAGCAGATTTCATCCCCAATTTATATTCATTTGTAGTATGCCAAAATTATTTATATTTAGTATTTTAAAGCGCAGTGTGATTTTATATAAGCATTTCAAATGGTTCATTTTCCTGTGTTTGCAAGGTGGTGACAGGGTTTCTTTAATTTTTATTACTTCCTCTTACAGGGGTCTTCTAAAGCTTCCAAAGAAGAGTCTCCGGCCACCTCCGACGTAGAGATGACCGATGCAACATCCCCAGGGGAGCCTCAGCACAACCGAGCCACAGACACTGAAATCAGTGAGGCGTAGGATCCGCCGATCAGGTCCATTTTTTTTTATAAGAAGCGGTCCTTCTCCTCACCCGTAGGATGGGGGGGTCATGAAGATATGTGCTGAGAGGAGGATGAGGATGCGGCTATCTGTACAAACGTTTACTCTCTAGGATGCTCATACCCGCAATACGATCTCTCTTCATTCCAACCTGTTCACTCATTCTATCTGAGGAGTTTACGTCCCATGTGGCCTATTACAAGAGGAGAGCACAAGTGAGATCCTGATATCTGATTGGCCAAGGATGGACACTGTTTACCTGCACTCTACCGTTCACACTAATGGCTTTGAGGAATCACCTTGTCCATTCATCGTTCCCTGGGGGTCCCGCTTGGTTCGGCTCTTTTTTCTTTAAATCACAGTTTCCAAGTCAGTCTGGTTTTAGGTGCTTATTCTCTGCCCCTCCTCATCATTTTTGTTTCTCATTTTTGTAATATTTGTTCTGCTGTGTTCATCTCCTGTAAATAATAAATGTATTATTGGTGCATGCATTCAAAATGTAGGAATATTAATAGGAATAACCAAACGGGTAGAAAGAAAATAGTCATCGGTCATATCATCTTTTTAGGTTGGAAATACTGAAATGGGCGAAACCTGGTTTGTCTGGAACCGCTGACTCGGTAAGAACTGTTTTTAACCACTTCAGCTCTAATACTTTGCCATTACCTAAGGTAACAAAGTAATCCAGATATTTTTGGTTTTGGACAAACAGGGCTTTCTTTTGGTGATATTATGTTTTTTGTGTGCAATCCAAGGAGAATTGCAAAATAGAAATTAAAAATCAGCAGGAAGATCAGAGTTAAGAGGCAGAAGGAGTTAATTAGGGCTGATTACACTAAACAGAGTTAATAAGGGGTTAAATTGAAAAAAATTGTGTTTATAAAATATATATTTTTTTCTATTTGTCAGGGTGCTTTAGCTGATTGAAACTCATCCCTTTGATCTGCAGATAAATGAAACAGAGTAGATGGAAAAGTAACAGTGTTTCTTTTTGTGTCTCTATCTCTTGTCTGTAGATTATAATCCTTGTTTTAGCAACAACTGCTACAGTTGCTGTATGTATATTGCAACTCCCGGTGTCCACAACTGGTTTAAGCAAAGTACTATTTAGGCTCTGTTCACACCTAGGCGTATCGAATATGCTCGTTTCCGAGTGCTACTTGGCTGTATCCCAATGGAAACGTGGAACAAAAACGCCGCAAAGAAGCTCATGTACCTTTTCAGGCGTAGGCCGTTTTGTAGCGCGTTGAGACGGGCTGAAATACAGCAAGGTGTGAACCATAGAAAACAATGGGATTTTCATGTTTGAGCGTTTCGTAGAGCGTACTTAATTTCCGCAGCCCTAATATTTTTATGTTCAAGGGCCGGTGCACACCTAGGGGGATTGCCGCGCGGTAAGGAGTCGCCACGGTGTGCACCGATCGCGCTGTGGGTGCCTCTATTTTCTAAAACAGCCGCGCATCATGTATCGCACAAAAGGTACCTTTTTTTTTTTTTTTCTGCGATTGCGGCGTGGATGTCATCCCTTTGAAATCAATGGGGCCGCGCGGCAATCACTGCCTGCATTGCACAGGACCGCGCGATCCCGAATTGCAGAGGTCTGCACGGAGCCTGAGTGACCGCTCTGAGTCTGCTGGAGCGGAAGACATCACATTCAAGATGCTGGCACCCAGCAGACGTACAGTGTCGGCATTGGGATTCTTATACAAGGGAGGCTTTTGAAGGTAAATAAGATGCATAAAATACATTATACTCTTATGGGAAGATTGCTGTTTAAATAAATGGTGTGGTGACGGGGTCTGTGTAAAAGTGTTAGGTGGAGTTGGGTTTTAATTTGTCTCTTTTTAAGTGCAATTATGGTCACCTTTTTGTTTCTTTTTCATCACCTCCTGTTAAATTCTCTATAATAAAAAATGAACTATAAATCCAGCAAGGATGGTGGGAACCCTTCACAATGGGCACGGCAGGTGTGGAGACCAAGGAACTCGGCTCAGAGATGGTGGGAGCCCCTCATAATGGGCACAGCAGATGTGCAGAGACAGGAATGCAGCACAGGGATGGTGGGAGCCCCTCATAATGGGCACAGCAGATGTGCAGAGACAGGAATGCAGCACAGGGATGGTGGGAGCCCCTCATAATGGGCACAGCAGATGTGCAGAGACAGGAATGCAGCACGATGGTGGGAGCCCCTCATAATGGGCACAGCAGATGTGCAGAGACAGGAATGCAGCACAGGGATGGTGGGAGCCCCTCATAATGGGCACAGCAGATGTGCAGAGACAGGAATGCAGCACAGGGATGGTGGGAGCCCCTCATAATGGGCACAGCAGATGTGCAGAGAAAGGAACTCAGCACAGGGATGGTGGGAACCTCCTAATGGGCAAAGACAGAAGAGACTACGGATTTTCACTCTACATCATCCATTAAACACTGAAACATTAGTTTTAGGTGGACTGACTTTTAGGCAAATGATGTATGAATAATGTATAGTCTATAGCAGGGCTCAAAATTTCAAGTCCTGAGCTACTAGCCAGGCCTTAACCCCTTCGTGACTGACGACGTACAGTGTACGTAAGTCTATAGTACATTTGTATGTTGTATGAATAACCAACTAATTTACCAATTCCACACTCTGAATTGTTCTCACTAGGTGGTGCTGAGGTACTGCATTCTAGTACAGTATCCAAGCTGCAGATCACAGATTGAAGTATATAACACCATGGTACTGTGTGCCAATTTATTGCCTGTGCCCTCAGCAAGCCTTCCACCAGACGAGGATCTGTATGACTTAAGCTGGCCATACACCTATAGATTATATGCACATTTTCTATTGTCGGGTGGAAAAACTGCAACAGATTCCTCCATCCAGATGCCTGCAGCCAATCAGATTGGTCAGATAATTTGACAGCCAGTGGGGCTGACTAGCAAGATACTGAAGCCTGGCCCAGTGGGAGATTCCTCCATCCACACAGTTTAGCGTAGGTGGGGGAATCTGTTGCACTTTTTCCATCTGACCATAGAAAGTCTGCAGATAATCTATAGGTCAGGGGTGCCCATTAGGTAGATCGTGATCTGCCAGTAGCTCTCAAAGCTGATGCTGGTAGATCAAAGAGAGAGCGAGGGAGGTTTTTTTCATCATTTAAAAAGTAGATCTTAACACAAAAAATCGTGGGCACCCCTGCTATAGGTGTATGGTCAGCTTTAGTTTGCTGTGAACGGTTCAGTGATATCGTTTCTTGGGAGCATCCATACATTGTTACTGTATGACTGCTAGACACAAAGGTCAAGAATGGGGGTTTTATTTAACAAAAATAAGAAAAAGCACAGTGTCTGGAAGGTGGTGGGGGTCTGAATAATAACCTGAACACACTGTACTGAATGCACCATTCAAATTCCCAGATTTGGTGTTCCTTACATTTCCTGGTTCCCTTCACCTTTTCAATGTGTCAGGAGTACAAACATCCCAGCAGAGCACAAAAGGACTCAGCCAAGCCTGGTGGGTTTTGCGACACACAAGACATCTAATGGAGATGGGGCTGTAAAATACTTATTCACTCATTCAATGACTTCATTGTTTATGACTGCAGAAATAACCTGAGGAGGTATGCAGTACCTGAAAGACTGACAGCCTTCACAGCTATAGAGGTGCAGGGGATGCTTTATTTTCTAAAACACCAGGATCCTGGAGCTGTTCTCTTTTGCAGTTCCTCACATCTATGTATTCGTACCTTAGTACAGACATTTGGTAACATGGACGGGAGGAAGAATTAATTGGCTATAAGTGTGGTTATGTCTCTAGGGCTGCAGCAAACGATAATTTTTATAATCAATTAGTTGGCCAGTTATTTTTTCGATTAATCGGATGAAAAAAAATGAAATACCATCTTTTATTACGCCAAGCGTATTCGGCCGACTGAATATGCGCGGACAACCGCTCCTGTGTGAATGGAGCCCTATGCTGTTATTAGAATGACGCTTTTCATATCCCAAACATATACCATAGCGCTACCCTCATAAATTCCTCCATCAGCTGTGCTAAAAACACTTTGGGGTAACATTCTCTCTTTTGTTTTCTCTTTTCTTGGTTTCTATTCTCAACCCCCCCATCTCCCTCCCGCTCTAGCCCCATCTCTCTCTCTCTCTCTACCCCTCTCTCTGTCTCTCTCTCTATCCCCCCCTCTCTCTCTCTCTTTTACCCCCCTTCTCTCTCTACCCGTCTCTTTCACCCCCCTTCTCTCTCTACCCCTCTCTTTCTCTCTGTTTCTCTTCTCCCAATCTTCCTTTTCATCTATTTTACACCCATAATGCCTTCACTATCTCTGACCATTATCTACAAACACTCCTCACATCAATGTGCTCTGTTCTGTCCTTGGTCTACATTGTCCTTTAATTCCCAGGAGACATCCCAACATGTAGACATTTTGGTAGGAAGTGACCTTGAAGTGAACGTTAATGAGGTCTGGAAGCTTTTTTTCAGTCGTTCTCACTTTCTACAAGAAAAAGTGAGCTCTCTGCCCCCGAGCATGCAGAAATTAAAGGAACTGGGAAGTGTTTTTTAACATTTCTGATAAATAATTAGTGATGTTTCTGGAGAGAGGCGGCTTCTGTCTGTACCACTGGGAATGGAATTTTCATCGGCTTCCAAGCAGCTGGGATGGAAGAAGCTTACTTAGCCCAGTCACGACTTGTGTATCTGTAGAGGCCCCCGAGCAGCCGGATGATTACATGAAGTGAGAAGGAACACTTAACATCTGTTGTTCGGAGCCCTCTGCATGTACCCCTGCCCGGGACAATTCCCTCTTTCATAACAGGTGGTTATAAAAACAGCAGGATCATAAATCCCTATGGTCAAACACTAAAAATGAATCTGTATCTATACTGAATTTCCATAAGCTCTACCCCATTTCTAATAACCATAACCATCTAGAAGTTTGTAAACTTACTTATCAAAGATGCCCATAGGATGGACTTCCTCATTGCAGTGACTGTGAATATGCACTAGTTGTGTGACAGCTCTCCTCAACATCTGAACAATGTTACATTATCATTGCTTGCTGGAAGCAATGCATGATGGGATATGTAGTCTTGAGAAATGGTGATTGCATCACATCAAGCAGCATGGAAAGAGACGCAAAGCATGCTGGGAATCCGGGAAGTTGATGAAAGCGATGGGCAGACAGAAGGCAGCACTCACTACATACCGTGTTTCCCCGAAAATAAGACACTGTCCTATATTGTTTTGGCTCGAAAAAAGACGCAAGGTCTTATTTTCGGGGTAGGTCTTTTTTTTTAATGTACAACAATCCACACATATTCATGTACAACAGTCTACATGTATTC